CTAATCCCGTGCCCCAACCTTTACCCTAACCCCCTGGAACTTGGCGCGGGGCCACCCGTGTCTTCCTGAGCTCTCATTTGTTCTCCTGTTCCCATGTAGCGATCAAGGTAGACGGGCCAAAGTCACTCCCCAGTGATCTGAAATATCCCGAATCACCGCTGGGAGGAAGCAGGTCCGTACCTCACGTGATGAGGCCTTAGCCTTTAAAACTGCGGTATTATCGCTCAGTCCGATCCTAGGATTTAGGATATCTATTGCACCAGTAGAAACTAGACAGCAAGCCCACACAGCGGCGCTGCACTTCATTACGTGTGCTCAACCTCATTTTATTAGCAGATTCGTCTCCCTGGCGTCTTGTGTGAAGAAGAAAAACAAAAATGTCTCTTACAGTTGCTTGTTTCTGCAATGACGCAGCGACGTGCTTGGAGTTTATCCTGATCACTTTTAGCACACAGAAAATGTGCTCAACTGCCGCTTTACTGTCTCCTGCACAACGCTCTTGCCATCCTTTGTTTTGTTTGTCGGGCCCTCCTCCAACAAGCAGCTGCCTCCACCCCTCTGGTGTGCGTTTTGAGGTTTAACTCGCATGCCTCATCTTGTGTCCTGTCCAAATGGAAGAGTCTTCCACCTTCAGTCCTCTATCGGGGGTGTCTCAGCACAAAATGCAATTTTATTTTCTGTTGCTCCGGAGACTCTGTGTGTGCATATGTGTTATCTAACCTCGAAAGTGTGAAACTTTCACCCTAGCTCTAACCGAGGAACTCTGCGTTGTGTCTTATTCAAGGATGGACCCTGCCAAATGAAGCAAACCTACTATAATGCCGAGGATTGTTTGGACGGACAGGAGGCAAGGTTTGAAATCAGAAGCAGGAAGTACCTCAGTGCAAATCACACTAAGACGCTCCCAGGGGATCGCTCTGCCTTCCGCACTCTGGGTAGAAGCGATAGGTTATTTTTGGGTACGAGAGTGTACTCTTATTTTGGGCTCTCGCAGCTGTGGTCCAAGTGGTGCCTCATTCGCTACCAAGCTGAGGCAGCAAGTCTTTTTCACCATGTGAATCGTTGTCTCCGCACATTTAAAAATTTTCCATCAGTGACGTCAACATCACCTAACATAACAGTCAGGTGAACAGGGGTGGATCAAAGAACACATCTGATTGTAGGAGACTTCTAGAACGACAACACCTGCCGCTTAATAACTTCTGTTTTGCAGGACTTTGATGACAGAGAAGACAGCATATGCTGCAAAATGATCTTAGACAGCCGATAGGCAGAGAATCATGTGGTAGGACCGCGCGCCTGACGACAGAATTAGCAGATGCAACAACTGGTCTCTGATAAACTATTTTTAGGTGAGATTGATTGCAGCGCATATTACTGTCCTCGAATCAAGACTGCCGGTTTGCTCGAGGAAGCCAGCTGCGGGATATAAAGCCACATCTGAGCCGGGATAAAGCAGTCATTGCTTGGTGGCTCTCGGTAACCGGATCTACCCGCAGCAGTCGATTGGCTGAAAGGCCCTTTATGTGACTAGCCCCGTAGATGCGGAGAGGAAAAAGATCGTTCTTATGTAGACCACCTCTAAATTTTAACCGGAACTACCCACTTACCACTCTGCCGGAAAAAACTGAAGTCCGTGATAAACTCTAGATGGGTACGAGTGACCCGAGTAGGCTCGGCTGATAGATAGACAAACCTGGCCGTCGTTTTCATATGCATTTCATCCTGGTAGATGAAAAGGGGGTAGAAGGCGGATGAGGAAATCTGACAAGCGAAATTCGACGCAGGATATGACGAATGTGTCCTGGGTTGGATGAATTAATATCGATGCTGTACTGATCAAAATTTGGTCCTTGTTGTTCGTCATGGAAATTTCAGCCGGAAAAGCTCCTGACTGCCAAATAGTACGCCCTAGAGTTAGCATCAACAGTGACACCTCCCAACTGACCAGCAAAAGAAGAGAGCATATGACTGACAGATTCAATTGTCCATATAATCCCTTTTCGCTAGTCAGTGAAGTAACTATTTATGACGGCAGGTAGAAAGCATCCGTAGGCAAGAAAATGTAAGACGAAGAATATGTACATCAACAAAAGGACACATTATGAACTGAGCAGCTAACCTAACAGACGGATGCAGTCAAGTGGTTTTGTCACGACAGCCTAAGTCGCCAGCAGACCGCGGCCATTACGAACTTTAGGCTCGCTCCCGAATAGTCAGACGAGAAGCTGGATGCCAATACAGAAAACATCGCATTCTGCATGAAATAAATGAAGGGTTAATTGGAGCAAGTTGGAGCCGACCGACGACACATGTCCTGTGCCGCCAGAACAGGCATCCGAATGCGACCGGCGGAGGCTTCAGAGCACCTTGGGCGAGGGCATGTTTGTGGCAGTCTTGAAGTTGGTTGGCCGGTTAGGATAGATGTGGTTGGTCGAAACCCCGGCTGCCACCGGTACGCGTGGGAGGCGCAGTGTTGCAGCAGACGCCTGGAGCGGGGCCATTACCGTTTACAAGCAGTATTGAAAGAGGATTCGCGGAGAATACAGTGAGTGAGATTATCAAAGATAATGTCATAATATTGGTAGGAAGGGCGACAACGGACACAGTGTGATAAGACCCACAAGACAACTGCCCCGAACCCGAATTAAGTGGATCATTTGGCCTGACTGCCACCTTAGAGGACAACTGAACCGGAGGTCGGACTCCGGTCGTTTCTGGTCTGCGTGGAAATAACATGGACGGAAGACAGGATAAGGTCCTTGTGCTTGTAAGATCAGTTAAAAAGATGGACATATTCATTCCAACTGCACAGAGTTGTATGTATGAATAGCTACCAAAACAAGCGGCACACTGAGAGTAGAACGTGACGAAGGGTCACCAGGCGCGACTTTCGGATTAAAAATAAGTTGCCGCCCGTTGTGATATTGTGGGGCTTAACCCCACCCTCCACGATGCGAAGAAACTATCCACTGGTTTGCGTAATGCGCAAAGAAGTGCGGACATTTTTCCGTAATCCAACTCAGGGTAAAGGAGCTGACTTTGTTGACCTGATCGTTTATGATTTCGGCAGCAGTTCGTGCTCAAGAGAACAGTCTCCTCCGTGGGATCTTGCAACGGACTCATTTGACAGGAATGTCTCATGCCGCAAACAGGGAACTCACGAAACCCCATCATGTAATTTAAGTCCTGACGGTCAGTTCGCCTCGCCCGAAGGAGAGGGGACGGCGTGAATTTGTGCAACATGGCAGTCCGACCTTCGATTCACCGTATAGACCACTGCAGTGTGGGAGCCGGTACGACAACTTGCCCGTGAATTAGTTTAAAATGACAGTAGACTTGCGGCGCATCCACAGCACCCCTTCTCCCTCATCTACCTGGCCTCCGTCCCAAGACGGAGTCGAGAAAATCGGGGCAGTGGCCGATAAACCAGTTCGTCTGCTCATGTCACACACGCCTGGCCTGCGCCCAATGAACCAGGTCCACACACAGCAAGATAGGGGAACCGCCCCGATCCCAGCTGAGTGGGAGCGTCACGAAGAACACACTGAGGAACCACTGCGGCCTGACTCTGTCCTGAAGAGAGGACCGAGTTGTCAGCAATCCAAGTCACAGTCCTTAGCGTATCGCGGTAGATCCGAGTACGTCAGATTGTTTAGTGGGAAATATGGCCTGAGAGTCGACCGCACTCTCTTCTCCCTTAGACACCAGTCCACCGTCCGAGCCGGTCTACCAACTGATTGAGATCGAGAGCAGCGCTTGACAGAGCTAAGCAGCACCTCTACGATTGCCACTCACAAACTGCTTCCCAACACCACATAACAGGTTCTCACACAAAGGGAGTGAGCTGCCGGGCCTCACATGCGCTAGTGCCGTAGAGGTCACATGGAGGAGCCAAAGAATACCCCCTGTACGTGGGGTCATTTGCGTGCGTTTTGAGTGACGTGAGCTGTGTGATGTGGTCCGACCGGTGGTGTTACCCCAGGTAGACAAGAGCCCTAAACTCGACTTCGACGCAACACCTAAATCCCATTATTCGAAAGCCCGATGGTGGAACCGGGACACCAAGCCAAATAGGAACAGAACGCATTGGACATCCGATACGCTGAGGGTGAATTCGGGACAACTAAAGTCCAGACCGCCAGACACCCATGGTGAATGACTTGGCCTTCAATTCGGGCTGTTGCGTGAATTATTGGGACGCAAACTGTTGACAAACCCTACCAGCGGAAACGCGGGTCCCCGCCTCCAAAAGTATCTTAAGGACCCGCACGGCTGGAGCAACACCGACGAGCAAACGACAAGGTCAGGAGGGAATGCCGCACACAACGCAAAGCATGACGCGTTATCCGCCGGGCAAACCACTCGCACGGCTACCCGGACATATAACTCAGCCACAGGCGTAAAAAGCAGGACAGGACCCGGCCCAGAGGCGCCCCAGTGTTGACGTATACGGACACGCGGCGCGCCGAGGGACCTGATGCCTCTTGAAAGGAATTTAGCCACGTGACCTCTGCCTGACAGAACATTTGTGCTGCTTGAAGTTATGACGCCGTAAAGACAAAAGACAGCACCACCCGAGATCTGCCATGGCGAAACAGGGGCGAACGCCACCTGCTGGTCTGTAAGCTCCACATTCGTGACGTCAACCGACCCACAAGTACGCAGACTCACCATTAGGTCCACGGTCATGCCACTTAGCTCACTCCTGATCCCCTCACCGGGACGGGCCAGGTACGTGCTGCAACTTTTGAACCGTCCCCGTGACTTGAGCGCATACCTACTTAAGTTACATGGTCCCACTTCCAGATCGTGTTGATTATTAGTGCTGAGTTGTAACAGACTGCCACCTGCAGTTCATAAACTTAACTGAAGCTTCCTGATACAAGCAAGAACGTTGGTCAGACAGTCTATTAAGCACCTTTACACGAATTAAAATGAATAACATCAGCCAAGCAAATAACTATACACAAAGGGCAGATGAGGTGACGAAAATCTCATCACAAGCCTGGGGGAGGTGGGGGTGGAGGATGCAGATAGCCGTTGGGTGCAGCAGTCGTACCCCAGTAATCGTTGGTTCCACCGTACGGGGGACCTGGAGGACCGTCTGTAGTGAGAGAATAAGGAGAAAGCGTTATTTTCAGCACGCCTAAGTGTGCAAACTCAGAATGAGTGCCTTTTACGTTACATGTGCAAATATGCATTAAATTGTAAATTTTAGGGTGAAAACCGCATGTTGTGGACGTGATGATCAATAGACGGTTCCGTATGGTGCCTTTGACTAATTATGCGAAAAATTCCATATTTAGCGGCCAAATGGCGGACGCTAAGAGCAGTCACACGTCACAAAGAATACCGACTAGCGCTTCGGCGGAGGCCGGAGACCAGCTCCAGCCCATTTCTGGAAACATGAATGGACTCGGCCCGGTCAGGCACGATGGTCCATCTATAGAAGTGTATGAATTTACCCGTCACCCAGATCGTGTCATAACTGGCTTTCTGGGGGATTTTTACACGGCAATTATTAACTCTTTGGTTCTCAGACAGCCTTCGTTGAGGATGCTTGAGGGTGTGGCCAATAATCAAGTTCGTAATCATTTCCAGCAAAGGGGATTAATAAAGATGATGAGGACATACGTTGTACAGTTGGTGGCCAAGCGGCGGCCGGAGGTGCAAACCAACCGCCGGGTGACGGGGCGGCAGCCGGCCAAGGCGCACTGCCTGGGAATGGAGGAGCACCTGGAAAGGCGCCTGGTGGGCCAACGGGCGGAACGGCTGGCGGGTATGCGCTGGCCGGTGGGACGTAGCCCATAGACCATGGTACGGGTGGCACCGGCGGTGGCGGCAATGGTACAGTAAATGCATCACCTTGCTTAACTGATGCTGTAGTTGTTGATAGTGTTAAAGGCGCCGACGAAGTCGCTGTTTCCTCTTCCTCTTCTTCTGGGGGAGGGACGCCTGGGGGCGGGGGCTGCTTTGCAGGTTGTGCCTTTCCAATCGGTCCCAACTGAACCTTCCCGCCTTGGTTCACAACTTCACAAGATAAAAATGCATAGTTGTGATGACTGAAAATTTTTAGACTCGAGTCTAGACCGACACAAGTTTTTGCCGATACGACTTACCCATGTTGGCGGCTGCGGTCGAATTTGAACCACCTCCGAGGCCGACTCCCAACTCTGCCATTAGTGCGGAGTACTCACTGTCCATCTTTGCTCGTTCCATAGGATTGATGCCGAGAGATTCCAAAGTAACTGATGGATCCCTAAGTTTGCAATCAGAGGCGAGGTGGCCGAAGCCTAGAAAAGCAGCAAATATGTATAAGAACGCATACCAATTTCAAGAGAAGGGGCAAAGACAGCGAGACTTACCTCCACAGAGCGTGCATTGAATCTTATTCGTTGCTATGTTTTGGGCCTCAGCGAGCGCACGCAACTTAGCCAGCCCCTCGTGTTCACGTAGGGTTCCGTTCAATAAGGCAAGCTCTCGTAACTGTGCCTTACGAAGGTCGTTTTGGGCTTCCGGAACCTCAATCCCTTGGCGTATAATTTCAGTAATCTTTTTAACGGCTTTTTGGCAAGCCTCAACATTTGCCGCAGAGATAAAGGCATGAAGAGGTTCGTCCTCACCGGGCATGGGAAGGCCATCGCGACGGCCTAATTTGCCGTCTTTGACGGAGCCCTTACCACGAATTATAATTTTTGCCCCAGTCTAAAACAGAAACGGTTAATGTTAAAAAAATTGCTGACGGGGAGTTTCGGAATTATTAACAATACAAGAGATGTCGAGTCCGACGTATAACTTACACAATTCTGTATTACGGAGTCGAAAACTTACAGTACTTAATGGAGGCAAGTGCAGAGTCAACGGGATAAAGTACAAAATTTTGTAGGATAGTGGCTTTGAAAAAATTGTTTTATCTGATGATGGAATAGGATTTCGACAATACACCTACACGTTAACTTTCGGAAAGGAGGGTTGCATTCTCTTGAAGATCTGGTACAAATCATGCGTCTTTTTCGATAGGTACACCACAGATTATGGCGGCAGCCTGGACGAATTCTGTTGGTTGAGGGACATCATAACAAACTCAACCGGTTTCCTGCTGAATACTCATGGCATTTTCGGTTTGTTGCGGACCCCAGACACCCAAGCGAAGCAGTTCACTAACGAGCCAGTCGCGTGAGCCGCAGGACCTGAAATAAACTCTTAGTAGGCCTATCTTCCTCTTCACTGGACAAACCGACGCCCATGCCAACCGTCCATGCGATGGTTCCATCCTTAGGAATGGCCTAGTTTGTCTGGCGTATCGGTTATTGCGCAAATATCACAAGACAGTATTTAGACACCAAAGGTATCCCATCACCTACGAAGGCCAAGCTACACCGATTTCTGGGACCCGGTCACACCAGGCGCAGAGCGGCAATAACGAACGCGACGCCTGACACCGCATTGTGCTCGAAAGATGAGTTAGACCAGTGTGCCATCGACTCGAGTTATCAATGGTTGCGCCGTCACTAGGGCAGGTCCCCAACCTGTCATAAGCACCCGTAGCTTGGGCGTACACCGCAGCAGCATTAGCATGGCTAGAGGCGTAGTGAGTGCGTCCCCGCTGCTGCCGACCATCGGCGCATAAGTGAAATTCTGGCCCGATCACTCAGCGACTGGGACAATGGAACGAGAACTTCTAGGGCGGAAAGGGGAACACCTTTGGCGCTGGGTATGAACACAATCAGGACGGATTAACCGCAGCGTTGTAATTTTCCGACATGAGTTGCTAAGTTACGAGGTGCGTCGAACTGAGGGCGGGGTCCTTTGCGATGTTATCTTGTCCTAGTCTCTTGCCGATGGTGATGTGACCGACGGACGATGCAAAAGCACACTGTCAACAAGACGCCTAACAAGGCCATGAAACCGAAGTATATGGTCTACACAGACAGGGTGCCAACTTCCTCGTTTTCGTCAGGGGGTCAGCTGCTAATCGACTGCGATGGAAGACGACCATTCGTAGTGTAGGCGGTGTATAACAAGTCGAAGGGCTTAAAATGAGCATAGCCAAGTACAAGTGGGAATTTCAACGAAACCCATTCGAAGCTTGGGGCGAGAAGCGCACATCTGCGAATAACTCGGCAAACAAAGTGGAGTAGCGACATCTGTACATAGGAGCGTGAGCTGCGGTCGCAGATAAGCGGCGACAATCGGACGGGTCGCCACTGTTCACGCTTTTTGAATGGCTAAATCAGAGCTTTGGTAAGCCTACAGAGCGCTTGCAGTCACTGAACGTGCGCGACAAATTGATGTAGACAGGTCAGTTGATCAATAGTAATTGTATGGGTGGCACACAAACCCCTGTCATTTCGGTGCGACGATGGGCAATCTCAAATAATTATGGCTATAGATAAACAAATCCACAGTCCTTGGTTTGGTACGGTAACCCACCGGCTGTACCTACGTTGGGCACTTGAAATCTCTAATACAACGGCGAGTTGGTCCAAGACCAGACTGACGTGCTTTATACACAGAACAATATGCATGACAAAAAAGACGCAGTACTAACCTCTCTCTCCAAGGCTTTAAGCGTGTTCCCTCTGGGTCCGATAAGAAGGCCAACGAAATTAATGTGGGGATGATCTTCCTGGGGTATGAAAATCTTGTCCGTTATTTTGTTTGCGAGAGGTCTGTGTAGGGTAAGCATAATCAACTCAAATTTTACTTGTAGTCTGTCGGGGGCTTATAATCTGGATTCAGCTCCATCATCATTTGAATGTAACTGTGGCGGTCTTCTTCCAGCTGCTTGCGAACGCGATATTCACGAGTGTTTAAGCGCTTCCCGTCACCGCTGTATATGGGCTCTGGCGAAGGGGACCTTAAGGAAATGAAACAATGCAAATAACTGCTCTTAGAACAAATGGCGTGCAACTTTTGGGCGTTCCGTACCTTAGCCTCCTCATGGGAGCAATCTACCAGCCCATCGTCTTTAACTGTTCAATGTACTAAAATAGGATTAAGTGAGGTTTTAAGAACATAATGGCTGACGAACCGTCTTAATTTCCCGACTACTTTTACAACCTAAATTCGAAACCTAGTAAGCATTAAGGGCAAAGAGTAAGCACTAATAATCATTTAAACGCAAAAGGGAGAAGCATACCGATCGTCTGGGTTTTGAGGGATGCCTAAATCACCGGACTTCAGTCGGCGGGATATATCCTCGATCTGAAGCTGAACTACACCGACACATAAAAAATAATAATGTATTACGTATATACATCTTCTCCTGTTGGGGAGTCAGATTAGGTGGCAATTGAGTAGGCATTCCGGGAACATATGTCTTGTCGGTTTCCAATGTCGACCAGCGACTTCGTCGTTTTCGTGGCTTCACAATAGCCCAGTCATTAGAATTGCTAGAACCTTTGTCTATCATACATTTTTAGGAAAGAAAGGGTATACGTACCACTCTCAGGTCCGCATAAATAAGCCCTCTTGCTCATCTCGGCTCAGACAGCAACCTGCTACGACGCCAAAACTGAAACTGCTGCTGGCTAAAACAACATAAGTAGGTAGTTTAACCGTCAGATTTTCAACGTTGCTCAAGAGTCTCAAGATACATTAGTCACGAAGTTTGCCTCATTGACACAATAAAGAGAAGAGCTTCTTTAAGAAAATTCTTTGTGTCTGAAAACACAGTAAAACGTCGCGTCCAGGGACAACAACGATATGAAAACTGCAATTATGCGGAAGACGAAGGAAGCGGAAAAAATCACAATAAAACAAGTACTAAGATAAAAAGAAATATGAGACGCTTGCAAAGAGTTTTAAAAGAGCCGTAAGCCCGAAGTGACCGGTGAACGTAAACAGTCGGTCTCTGATCTCAGTTTTGCCCAATGTTATATTTTTCTAAACGAAATTACCAAGAAATGTACAGACTACAACTACAGCCTCAAGTGGCCTATTTACCCTTTGGCCAGTCATTTAATAGGTGACTTCGACCTTGCTATTGCTGTCAGTGGAGGTTTTGAAATCTTTAAAGTTGACGGTTGAGCCGGACTTAAAAAGCAAAGTCAGGCCGACATTTCTACTCTCCTTATTCTGTTGTACTTTTCAGTCACTCAACGCCAAAATATGTCTGTTAAGAGTAGTTAGATCGAATCTTGGCACTGGTAGACATTCAGCAGGCTGGTGAGCCATGCTGACTAGCGCTAAGTTCCTTGAACCTCACTGTCACGCCATTCTTCTTATTGGCCTTGGGTTCTGTTTTCCTGAGTCTGATAAAACTTCATTCTCTCACTTTCTATCTCATTTTCTTCGGATGCAGGGAAAACAGATTAAGGTAGTTTTTCAGATGTTGACGTAGACGCTGCCAAGATTCTGGCGACAAGTTCGCACATTTGCAAACGCAGGTATTGGACTTTGTATAGTGCCATTGCCACCTGCCTGAGAGTGCAATCACGTTCTTCTTCAACTAACCGCCAGCCAAAACTCCGTGCTTCAAACTCTTTGATGCCAGTTTATCATGTATTTATTTGTGTGGGCATCGTAGCTGTCCACTTTCAACTATTTTTTATTGAAGTGTACTCTCGCGAATGTTCTCTGACACGGTTCTGACACAAATATATATGAACAGAGCAGGATATGTGAGTCCGAACTTCCAGCTCTCAATGATGAATGTATCCTTCTTTATCTTTTATCTGATTTTTCTAGCTCGTCAACACAAGAATGGAAAGGGCAGGGGAAAACATACAGCTTTCTTACTCCCAGTTGCACATCGACCAAGTATACGTTTGAATATATGCAGGGGTGTACCATCCGGTAGCTCAGGGCAGTTGGCATCCTCGTCGAGCTGCGTCTACAAACAAAAACGAAGGCCATATTCCATAATCACGAATATGCATTCAGAAGCCGACAGTTTCTTTGCAATAGGTAAAAGAGTTTCATCGAGATTTCATAAGTTGTTAAAAACAGATTCCTGGATATTTAGTTCGCCAGAAATGATCGGAAGGGAGAGTAGCTGTTCTTTGGAAATGCTTTGCCACGCACATGCTAAATGACGGAATCACCATCACACAAACCAAACACATGTCAATACTTTTGTCAGACTCCCTGCCTGATCATGACTAGCCAGTGTGGACTGAAGGTGCCCAAATGGGTGATAGCGGAGAGAACGATTGGCTGCCGATACGGCCTCAGATTGCTGGACCACATCGGTCACGCTTTTGAAGGACAATAAAAGTACATTCGCTAGCTTTTAATTATCGTCGAATGAAGAAAGAAAAGTGGGTTGTCCGACCACGGAACTCGCCACCAAGTGAGATCCTGACGGCCGACAAAATTTCCATGTTTAAAAGAAAACTTCCTCGTTTGATTTTAGACAGAAACCGGCTTTTCCAACATGACTACTCACAGCCAGCTCTGTAAAATGCTTTGTCACACACAATCTTTCCGTATTGACTAATGGTGAACAGATGCGCATTACGATTGCACTGTGATTCGATCATGTTGCGAATGTCTGTTACAACGCCGTTTGACCGCATGGAGTACCTCACGGTGTTTTTAGCAGCCTTGGTGCACTGCTGTTTTCATGCTGCTGTGTATCCAAACTCCGAGATCCTTTTACAACGATTCTGCGGGAAGAACAACATCTTTCAGGTGATATGCCCTCGTGCTATCATTTAACTGACAGTTAATTGGACGCACATGAATGGCGGCACACTTCTGCACATTAAAAACTAGATGCCATTTCTCGGACCACGTTCTCAGTCGGTGCAGATTATTTTGAATGAGCTTTCTGGTCGTTCGGACTCTCACATTATTTTTCGCATCTTCAGGAGTTTGCCGGATTTTTCGCACGTCGTTTGGACTCTGCAACTCCTTCCAGATATCCCAGAGGTCTGCAGACGGGCTGCTTCGCGACATATAATTTGTATACGCCTATACTGACGACTTGTTGGTAGTTACCTCCATTGCCTAAGAACACATGGAGCATCTTACGAAGATGTTTGACCGCCTACAACAATTTATCCTTGTTCTCGACCCGTCCAAATGCGTCCCCGGTGGGCCCTCCATCTAATTTCTCGGACCTCTGGCTGACTCTAACTGCATTCATCCTCTTTCATCAAAGGTTGCTGTCCTATGTGACTTTGCACCCCCTCTTTCATGCACCAGCTGCAGCGATTTATGGGCATGGTGAATTTCCACCACCCTATCCCTCCGCATGGTGTCGATACCTTCCTGCTGCTCACGAGCCTCCCCTCAGATTCATAAGGTTTGTTCGAGCTGTCTGCAGAGGCCCTCACTGCTTTTGTTAAGGCGAAGGCTGCCTGGCTGAGGCGACCCTCCTGACGAAGTTTCCTCCCGATGCTCCCATCCCCCATATGGGTGACACCCTCAATGTTACAGTAGGCGCGGTTCTTCAACAGCACCCTGCAGGTCACACCCAGCACTTAACTTTCTTCTTCAGAACGTTGTCACCTCCCGAGACGCGCTATAGCACATTTGGACGGGAGCTCCTTGCTGTCTTCGTCGTCATAAAACACTTCCGTCACTTCCTTGTGGACAGGGACTTTATGGTGTTCAAGGATCAGAGACCCTTTCCTCCGCTCTCGAGTTCACTTCTGAGAAACTAAAATGCCGGGAAATCAGACAACTGGACTATATCTCACAGTTTACCTAAGATATCCGCCACATAAACGGGTCAGGCAATGATGTGGCTGACGCACTGTCCAGGTTCTCTATCGCAGAACAACACCGCGCTTGTTCCCCATGTGAAGAGGACGTCTTCGGACTCCAACTCTAGGAGCTGCAACTGACTACTGGCAAGAGCATCATTCTCTCCACCGCCTCCACCGTCTCCTTGTGCAACCATCCCTCCACCGCAAGGTTTCCTCCTCTTTTGCACAACCTTTCTCAGCCTGGGAGCTGGGCAACCGACAAGCTGGTTTCCGACCATTTCTTCTGGCCTGGAATGTACCAAGACCTAGAAACATGGACATGGGAATGTCCCAGCTGACGGAGAAGTAAGGTTCACCGGCACAAGGCTCCCATCGCATCTTCCCCACGGTCCAGTCACATACACCTGGACATTGCGGGCCCTCTGGCCCCGCCCACTGACTGTTCTTGTCTCCTCACCTTGAGTGGATCGATTCACCTGGTGACCGAAAGTCATCCCTCTGCCCGATGTTACTGCTCCAACAGTCACCAAGTCTTTCATAGGTCGTTGGATTGCCATTTTCAGTTCTTCCTTCACAAATGCGACTTATCGCATTGCCAGTTTGGATTTATCCTATTCAATGTCTTTCCCTCCTTTTTGGGCTGTACACACATCCGCAATACACTCTATCATACCGCAGCCAATGGGATGGCCATACGGTTTCATCGCCCTTTGAAGACCTCCTTAAGCGTCGCAGACGATGCGGAGAACTGGATGGACAATCTCTCGCGGGTATTGTTAGACATCCGCTCCTCTCTCAAGTCGGACCTTGACTGCTCCGCCGCTGAGCACGCGTTTGGTGCCATCGTCCGACTTCCTGGTAAAATGATTTCGCCAACCCCGCGAAGTGCGATCGAGGATCCCAACAGCCTCCTGCACCGTCTCCGGCAATTCGTGCGGACGCGCTCCCCCGATCCGTTTTGGCCATCCGTCTCCGAGTTTTACCTCGAGAAAGACTTGACAACATTCTCTCACATTCTTCGATGCGATCGAGTCTTCCGGCCAGTGGAACCACCCTACGGCGGTCTCTTTCAGGTTGCCTCTCGTGGAGCGAACACCTTCCGCATCAAACGCGGAATCCGCGAGGAGGTCGTGAGCTTCGACGGTCTCAAAGCCGTTGTCCCGGGCACTCCTCCAAATGCGTCCTGTGCTTTCCTGCCGTTTAATCCGCCTTCCCGACCATTTATCCTTCCGTTCCATATACTTGCTCTTCCCTCGTGTCCGCTACTCCCAACTGTGACTACTCCCTCACCAACCCCCAACGCTTGATCCGCATGGCATGCACACTCATCCCTTGTACCACCTGTATATATCGGCCTAGTGAGCGCCATGTTCATTCTTCTAACCGTTTGGTTACTCATGTATTTAGACATGAAAATTTCTTTCGGTGTCGCCACTCACCGCCTTCACTCTAGCAGAAAATACTGTGGCGGTCTGCGTCTCCTAATTCTCTACTGCATTCTCTCCTTTTGTCCGTCTCACGCTCCCCGTCGACTCGCTGCTGGGACTGTGCGAGGTTTGTCATTAGCTTCGGGAGAGCTCAAAGTAAATCAACGCTACCCCTTCTTTGATCGGTTGGCGAGTCGAAACTAAGACAGAGCAAAGGCGCACACACGTGCTGTGGTCTAAAAAACTTCAACAGCGGATACAGACAACACAGTCGCCTTAAGAAGAAGCTTGCGATAACTGTTTACAGAGTCTATTGTACGCTGTTACACGTTAGTAGATGTTGTCGAGCCCGATCCCTTATCCCTGACTTCTTATATGGGAGTGTTTGTGTTGTTAACCATGTTACTATCAACAGGTTTTTTATCAACATGCATAAGGGGCTGAAGGTGCAAAGATATTAAATTTGCCTTTTCCTGAAAAAGACGAAATATTGTGTGATGCCTAACATGGCTTTCGCTCAGAACGATCCTGCTTAACGAGTGTTATATACCCGCACGAGAAATGGACAAGGGCTACCAATAAGGGTTATCCAGTAGATGTCTTGTTTTTGACTTAAAAAAGCCTTTGATAGTGTCGCACACAGGCTTCTTTTACGGAGGATATCCGATGTAGGAATTCAAGGAGAATGTTTAAATAGATCAAGAGTTTTCTGTCCTCCATAGTACAAAGTCGTCGGTGGTAACTCTACCTCGGAATAGGCAAAGGTTGAAAGTGGTGTCCCACGGAGTTCTGTCTTAGGCCCAGTACTCTGCCAGATTTATGTTAATGACTGAATCAGTAAACTAGATTGTGAGACGCTCATGTTCACGGACGACATGAAATTTTAGAATGAAGTCAAATGCAATGATGACGCAGAGAAGTTGCAGTCGAACATCGACAAAATGTGTGCTTGGTCAAACAAATGGCTTTTGAAGCCTAATGTGCCAGAATGCGTGGTCTTGCACCGAAACACCGGCCAAAGTGCCTCTATCAGACACCAGTACCATATTAACCGGATGGCGTTAGAAAGTGTAGAAAGATACAGGGGTTTGGGTGTATGGACGGCCACAAATCTATTGCCATTGCAGGAAGCTGTCCAGAAGGCAAGAAGGACTTTACACTGGATCGGACTTGTATTTAATATATTCCCTCCCGAACTCTTCGAAAGACTTTTTGTCGTTTTCGTAAAACCCCATGTGGAGTTGGAATGCCATCAGTTTCACCATGAATGACGAACGATACTGACTTACTTGAACAGGTTCAACGCAGAGCGACGAGGATGGTCGCTGGTTTTAGGATTTATCTTGCCAGGGCAGGCTGAATGTGTTTGGTCTATTCCCTCTCTCTTGCAGGCAGCTAAACTGCAGTCTACCCTGGGCATTCCGGATTGTCCGTGGTCAAGTTTGCTCGCTAAGAACAGAAAACTTTTTTGAGTTTGTCAGTGCAGACCAAGTACGCGGTCATCCTTGCAAAATAAAGAGTGAACGCACGCGGCTAGACCGTAGAAAGTTTTCCTTCAGCCAGCGGGTTTTCCGACCATGGAGCTCGTTTCTAAGTGAGATTGAGACGGCCGACAAAATTGTCATGTTTAAAAGAAAACTTAATCGCTTTCATTTTCGACAGAAACCGGCTTTTACAACAGGACTACTCACAGTCAGCTCTGTAAAACACTTTGTCACACACAATCTTTCCGTAATAACTGATGGTGAACAGATGCGCCTCCTTCGCACTACGATCGCACTGTGATCCTCCACATTGCCGATGTCTGCAACTTTTTGAGTTTAAATCTGCGAAAGCATTGTGCATAAAATAGTTCATCAAGGGCTCTGCCCCAACACTTTAAACACGCACATACACGGCATTTCAACCGTCATTTCCGACGATAATAATAATTATTTTTTTATTAAAGACCCGTCGGGGTCGCATAAAAGCAAGTAAAAATAAATTTACATGCGAATTTTAGACGAGGTAGGCAAAATCTGTACAAAATGCAATACATAGTTTTTGAATTAGAAGTCCGTTAAGAAAAATGATAAGCGAGGGGTGAAAAAAACTCCATATCAAAATTTAAAAATGATTGGATCAATTTTACAGGAGAAACAAACCCTCGATAAAAAAAGCAATAACAGAAAAATGCGGGCAGGACTGGCCTGCGTGTGGCGGTATGTAATGGATTATAATCGGACATCGACAGGGCAGAAATAAATTTCAGCTGTTAAGGCATTGTATAACGGATCTCATGAAGAGTTAAGTAGGCGGGTAGGTCAGGACTGGCCTGTATGTGGCCTTGAATAAGGCAAACAGTGGCGAAATTGAAAACCAGTCCCGAGGCGATAGGAACCCAGATGCGGTCGGTTACATTCATCCGAGTCCATCGGAGGATGGGGCGAGGGTGATGCGACCAGACTACTAGTATATGGTGAATACAGAAGGTTTCGCCAAGAGCGTCGATGGAGCGCATTCTGTGAGGGCACGATGCTTGGACTGAAAAATTGGAAAAATTAACATTTCTGGTGAGGGATCTTAGGAAGCGAGACTACTCATAAAGGAAGGAAATGTAAACAGTTGCGGAAATTTAATGGCGACATACTAAATTCCCAATGGCCCTTTCTCAGTGCCATAGAAAATGTTGTCTGGGAAGGATGAGGAAAAACACAGTTTAATCGAGTCAATATTCAGATAAAGGCGTAGCCTTCTCTTAGAGGTGTGTAGATTTTCTGAAGATCTTATATTTATTAGAAGGTTATTCCAGAGGAAAGTATATCTGGAAGCGAAAAAAGGGAGCGCTTAGAGGTGGAGGACGCTGGAGGAGGTATAATCAAGGACGAGTTGCGAAGATTGTATGGGCGACTACTAGAGGTGAGTGCTGAAATCCAAGAAAAATTTGAACTATGATTAATGGGAAAGAGGAGACAGAAGCCCACTTCTAGTCTTCGAACCCGCAAAAATTTCAGCTTAAGAAGCTGGCATCTATCTGAGTAGGAGATATTGGGATGTTCCTTATCTAAAAGTTTTTTTTAGAAAAACGTCCTTGGACATTTTCAATTTTTAAACGACTAGCTGCATTCATCAAACCAAAGAATGGGCAGCAATACTCGAGAATTGGAAGTACAAACATACGATAGAGCCTTTATTTAATTTCAGGAATATGGAGAGTGTAAGAAATAAAGCCACAAATCTGGGCAGCTTTGGCTGTAATTCTTTCAGCGTGTGGCGAGAGAGATGTCCACCCTGTGCTCCACTTCGAGGTGAGAGTAGAGACGGTTACTCGTGAGTGACTTAGTTTATAGTTAATGTGGACTTGTGCAGCATCTACCGCACTCCCTCCTACACCCACCTATACGCGGTGTCAAGACAGAGTTAAGAAGACCGGATACCGGGGAGGGCGCAGATGGATGGCACGGCCGGGCCCGCACACTCGCGTTCCGCTCCACGGGTCCTGGCCCGCACGGCAAATAAGCAGGCTTTTGACCAACAAAAACAAGGAAAAGGCGACTCGGGTCCCGTTATGCGCAATGTCTGCCGGCAGCCGGGTCTGCCACCGTGCCCCGAAGTGTTGGCATTTGTTATGGTGCTCAAATCCGATAACGCCTGTCAGAATCCAATTAGGCCCCCATGTTGGTCCATCGCATCTACCACGTGGCCCGTTTGAGGGGCAAATACATGCACAAATGCAGTACTGCAGTATTGTCGTGCGCTCTAGAGATAACTTTCCAGAGAACAGGAGTTATGTATGTTTTGACGCCGATTAAGTTGCACTGCCTAATAAAATTAAGCGCAAGCAACGGCTTCTTCGGAGACTTCTTTTATTGATCTATGGTTGTCGCACACGCGCACTACACACCAAAATAATGGCCGTTTGAATGTCCATACAGTCCTGTCTGCAACTTGGTACAAATATCACAGGAATGAAAAACTTCTGCAAAATTATTTTTTGTTTAAGGGGGCGATTATTCGTTTTTGCATTCGGTAAATATCCCACATATTTTGGGTGTCGATTCTATCGATTTAGTCTACCGCAGTGATGGAGTTTGTGGTCTCTAATCTCGTGGCCCCTCTCACCACAGCCAATTTCTTCAGCCGCCAGTGAACGCAGTTTTTTAATACTTCAGTTTGGTCTAGTACCAATGTAATCTATAGGAATTGAGGCTGAAAGTATCCGAGACAGTGCTACCTATCCCTGTCCCTTTTTCTAATACATCATCCAACCTACAAAAACGCCATCCTGAGTATTTAATAATGAGGTGTTTTTTACTGTTAGCCCGATGTATGCTTTACTTTTCTCTGACAGTGCCTGCAAACTGGCATTAAATTCAATTGCTATTACTGTTATTATAGAAACTTGTTTTACGGGGAACGAGACCCGTGATTCAATATAATTCAGTATAATAAAAAGGAGGAAGGCAGACTTCGAAAGCCACCTTTGCAGTTATATGATTGAGAAAATACGCATACTTGCATAATTAATCGTGGCACCGAACGATTTGTTGTTTCGTGAGCTAGCCAATGTTTCTCTTAGACAATTCAAGTGCGTGAAGCAGAAAAATTGCTCCATGGACGAGCATCAACCAGAAAATGACTCTGAATAATATGTTGCAAAGACTGATATGGGGTCTGGGTAGAGGTGACCATAAAGATCTACAGCGAGAATATCTTCATTGTACATATGGAAGACTAAATACACTACTGTCGTGCTGAGGCAGTCTTGCGTGCAGTGATTATCGTAACTGATGTGTGGGTTACTGCCACCGAGGGCTCACTTCGTGGTCTATGTCCTCAAAAAACTAGGCACCACCTTCCATAGTGAAGACGATGGTGCTGACAAATACATCCATCTCCTAGCGTCAGCCGAAGTACCGGCACCTTGCTGTCGTCAAAATCTGAGCTTAGTATTTGACGACACATAGAACGTAATACTCAGCAGGTCAGTACTCAATACGCGAAAGCTTTTTACTTCCGATGATCTTGTCGCAATAAGCCTGGCATCGATTTGAGAATTCATTCGAATGCACTGATAGGGTAAATTTGCCCCTTATCACTTGACAGGGGCAAATCATACTGTCCTCCTAGGGAGAATGTTGCGCTCTAAGGAAATTTGCCGTACAACCCAAGGTGGAATCGCAGTAGGAATTACTTTCTTACTAGTGAATCCAACAACAAAACACATCTACAGAAATGTTGGACGCACGAAAAAATACGAATAAGATTATTGGCTTCTCTTAAAGAGGAAAGGAGGTTCGGACGATTTTGCTATTACAGAGCTGAATGAAAGAGGGGTTTCAAAAAGAAACACCTGTCCAAAATCCTAATAACATAAGTCCCGTTCTAAGAACTAGGCGAAAGTGAGATGGAAAGGGGCATAATCCAATTCAAGAGATCATTCTTTTTTCATTTTTAACACACCTGATTGTCGCACGCATAAATAGAAGCAATGAAGAGATTGAAAATGGACAAGGATATAATAGTGCTGCCGGATAACAAAGGAAGAGCAGCACTGTGATGAACCGCGTTGAGTACCATGAGAAGGCACAAGCTCTTCAGGACGCCAAACAGTCCTACAAGTCCACGTCCTCTTCGCAGGCTAAATCGATGATTAACCAGCTGACTGGACTCTTAAGCCGACTCTGGCGCAACAATGTAATCTCGGTTGACGAATGGCACCAGACAGAGCCAACCGACACAGCATTAGCCACATTATATGAGCTGCCAAAATCCACAAACCCAATGTTTCCCTGCGGCCAATCATTGCCCTGGATGACAGCCCCACATGCAATCTAACCAAATGGATGTCCCGAAAACCAAATTTTCTCCGAGAGGGCTCTGTTACGTCAGCCAATTTGGCCTCCCATTTCCTTGCCTACATTTAAGAAAAAACTTTCGACCCGACCAAATTATGGCATCCTTCGACGTTGCCTCGCTTTTCACATCCATCCCACCACACTTGGTACGCGATGTGCTACGCAAACGGCTAGAGGAAAAGTATGAAGAAACGCCAGGGCTCCTAAAAATCCAACACTTAATGCAGTTCTGTGCATTCTGCCAACGAACCTTTTTCACCTTCGATGGTAGAACATATGAACAAATTAAAGGAACACCCATGCGTTCCCCAATATTCAGCCTAAATGCGGAATTGATCCTACAAAAGCTGGAAAAGGTTGCTTTCGGTCACTACAAACCCGCGTTTTTGCGCTGGTACGTGGACGATACATTCATCGTTATTGAGAACGACAAGCTATCGGGTTTTCAAGACCTGCTCATCAGCATCTTCCCCGACATTTAGATTATCAAAGAAGACGAGGAGGCCGAGAAATTACCTTCCTTGACGTGCTTGTCACGTGCACATCTGATGGTAAACTCAGCACGACAGTGTACAGACGGACGACCAATAGAAGCCAGGTCCTCAATTATCACCGCGACCACCCAATGTTGCATAAACGGGGCCGTGTGAGGGCGCTTTTCAATCGGGTAAAAACGCATTGTAGCGAGCCCGAAGGAAGGATGCAAGAAATTCGGTATCTCAGGGACCAATTAACAAGGAACGGTTACCCAAACAGTTTCATCAGACGAGGGACAAACGGAAGAGAGACACCAACGATTTGCACTCCCTACCTTACATAAAGAATGTGTCCTAGGCCACAGAGCGCATTGTGTTAGAGTAGGGCGTGAGCATCGTTAATCATCCGGCGGCAACCATGCGTAGTAGAATCATGAAACTGAAGGATCGGCTGGACGCATGTGAGCAGTCGGGCGTAGTCTATCCAGTCCCGTGCCATACCTCTCCATGTCATTACACAGGTCAAACAGGGCTACGTCTTAGCTCACGAATACTTGAGCACAAACGGGCAATTTGGAGAGGCAACTCATTATCTCAAGTCGCCACTCACGCTCTGGAGGAAGGCCATGAGTTCGACTATGCCAACACGCGGATACTGACGCAGGCCGGCAACAAGACGGAGCGAGAAGTATTGGAGGCGTGGGTGTCGGACACCAACTCTATCAATAAACATATTGATTTATCTGCGTGTTATTACGCACTCTGTCCACGCAACCGGGTGGCGCAGTTTACATCGCCGCGAAGTACAAGCACCGTCACCACCGTGGGCCAGGCAGCAAAAACCAGACCTAGCCAGAGGCGTAATGCCCTCCCGGTACAGTGGCATAAATGTTATGGAAATCCGCAAAACAGCATTACTATGGTTGATGTATTAGACCATCAACTGATCGGAATATCTTCACTCTTTTCCCGCAAGCGCAGCTGTCATCATGGCCGGTGCACAGTTCGTCCTACGTCAACTGCATAATGCTGGATACGTGCATGCCTTCTATAATGCGATAATTCAAGTCCCCGTCTTCACAACAAGAATCTGGGATTCGCATATTCGCCTCCATCCGTGAATTCAAGTTCTGCTGTTCTCGGAGACTAGATTGGGACTGTTAACCCTAAAAAAAACTACTGAAGCTGACTAGACTACAACCTCCAACTAGAAATCATGTGCTTCCCAGGCAGTTTAAGGAACTGTGGCATCAAGTGACGGTCCAATCTTCGGGAAAACCGACTCCCCAGTCGCTTACCAGCTTTTACAACCTTTCCTTAAATGGACAAGGAGGTAATGGCTACAGTTGGCTGAGAGAAACGGCCGTGAGGTCGAATTAAAACAGCAGGAGGACTATTCCACCTGAAAAGAGGTCTGAACATTCAACCCATGGAGTTAAGCCACACTTTCAGACTGGAAAAATCGGCCACAAAGAAAATTCAACAGTACAGTTGCTATGCCAATCAGGCTGCGACAAAGAATAAAGAAAATTGAAACCAAAGACGATCGGTCAGAATAGAGCCGAATGAGTATCCATAAACGCATACAAAATACAGAGGAACTTAATCAAGCGACTGACCCTCAGGACACGGCAAAATTTTGAAAAAGACCTATTGAATCGTGCTATGGAAAATCCAAAATTATTCTACAGCTACATAAGAAGCAGCACACGAAAGAGAGATCCAATCCCCCTCCTGAAGACAAGCGGAGACGTAGAGATTAGTGAGGATGGAGAAAAAGCTGAGCACTTTTCACAATTTTTCAAATCCATCTTTACTAGTGAAAGTTCATTTACTCCTCTCGACTACGACTTCGATGAGGGTCCAAAAATTGAGTCTGTATCTTTTGATGAAGCGACGGTTCGCAAAGAGCTAATGACGCTAAATGAGTCGAAATCACCAGGTCCAGACGACATACCGCCTAAGTTACTTAAGGAGCTCGCTGCCGAACTAGCCAAACCATTGTCCATACTTTTCCAAGCCTCGTTCGAAGCCAACTGCTTGCCCGCCGACTGGAAATCTGGGCGGATCACACCACTGTATAAAGGAGGCAGCAAGGCCTCTGCAAACAATTATAGGCCAATTAGCCTCACCTCCATCTGCTGCAAACTCATGGAGAAAATAATCAAGCGAGAGCTGATGCGCTTCCTAGAGCAGCATAATTTATTATCTGATGCGCAGCATGGGTTTCGTAGTGGCAGGTCTTGCGTGACTAACTTGCTCAACGGTTTGGAACGTTGGACTCGGTCAGTTGATGAAGGCAATGCGCTGCATGTAGTCTATATCGACTTTAAAAAGGCATTTGATAGTGTCCCACATCAGCGACTCCTGCACAAACTGAGCCGAACAGGCGTTAGGGGTAACCTCTTAAAATGGATTCAAAGCTTCCTATTAGACCGTTTTCAAACTGTCCATGTCGGTGGCCAGAAGTCGACGGAAGTTGCCGTTGAAAGCGGTGTTCCCCAAGGCTCAGTTCTTGGTCATACTTTGTTCATCATTAACGTCAACGATTGCGTGAGTGGACTGGATTGTGGTGTCGCCATGTTTGCGGATGACATTAAGCTCTGGAGCGTCATTCGAACTGCAGATGACGAAGAGCATCTGCAAGCGAACCTAAACCGACTCCAACAGTGGTCAAAGGTCTGGCTTATGCCGTTCAACGAGAAAAAGTGCAATATCCTACGAGTCGGCAGAGCTTGCTCTCCGAACCATATGGCCTACTGCCTAAACGGTATACCACTGCAAGAAGTGGACTCGCAGAAAGACTTGGGAGTATGGATTACGACCTCGCTCAAACCCTCGCTGCACTGCACGAAGATAGCCAAGTCTGCAATGTCAGTCCTCTACCTTGTCAAGCGGGCTTTCTCTGCCTTTGATGAAGACTGCTTCGCTAAAGTCTTTCGAACTTTTTGCGTCCGCAACTAGAATTTGCTATCCAAGCTTGGAGACCCTGGACCGCGAAGGACCTCAGCATCCTTGAAAGGGTTCAAAGGCGTGCAACGAAACTTGTGGCAGGACAGGGTTCACTACCATATGCAACGCGGTTAGCTAACCTTGATCTCTTTGCCTTGAGTTACAGGCAGTAACGGGGTGACCTGATACAAGCCTTCCGTATCATACGCGGTCAGGACTGCAGCCTCGTACCGGGGGACTTCTTCGAGTTAGCAACCACCACAAATCTACGAGGCCATCCATTCAAACTTCGTGTGACAGGGGCCAGACTGGACACACGAAAGTTCTTCTTCTCCAACAGAGTGCTAGAAGCCTGGAATGCCCTGCCTGTGGATGTCGTTATGTCTGCTTCCGTCGAGGTCTTTAAGAGGAAGCTGGATTTGTGTAGCAGTGTCCACTAAATTACCACCCTGACCTCGACAAATTACGTTATTATAATACTACTTGCTATATTTCAGTAACATTTTAAATTCAATTTATTATTGTGCCAGCCCATCGCCTACGCTTACTGACATGCACATATGCAAATTTTGTCACCGGATATATTATTTATTTCGCTGCG